GGGCTCATTGTTACTCTCTCTACTTTTGAGTCTATGATCGAAATTTTCTTTCAAAGTTCAAAAAGATTTTTAGAAAATGTGGCATGTTTAGTTGGTAAAGCTGGGTCATGAGCATGCAAGCGTTTATTCTTTGAACATAACTTCCTTTAACTTTTGTATTTAGATCACTGCTTTGAAGTTTTGTGGGCTAAATCTAACATTTAGGCCCCCCAGTTTCTTTCGATTGCTTTTTTCCTGAATATGATCACACTTTCTTCCTTGGATTACTCATAGTTTATGGTTGACATCTAGATACTTTAGATTATATGTAACAACTATTAATTCTGATGTATGTTTCTGATTTTTTTAAATTTAGATTTATACTGAGGAAGCTTTCTTCCCCACGGAAGAGTGTGACTGCTCACGTCTCTGCTGTTTTTTGAAACAACTCTTTTTTATTTTTCAATGACGATCGACATTTAATATATTTGTTTCAGGTGTACAGCATGGTGGTGAGACATTTATATAGCTTACAAAGTGATCCTCCCGATAAGCGTGGGACCTGCCTGGCACCATACATAGTTATTACAGTGTTGTTGACTATATTCTCTATGCTGTACTTTACAGCCCTTGTAACCACCAATTTAATCCCTTCACCCTTTTCACCCGGCCTTCAACCGGCCTCCCACCTGGTAACTGTAAGTTTGTTCTCTGTACCTGTGAGTCTGTTCCTGTTTTGTTCATTTGTTTTTTAGATTCCGCAAATAAATGAAATCATATATTTGTCTTTCTCTGTCTTATTTCACCTAGCCTAATACCCCCTAGGTCCACCCATGTCGCCGGCATTGGGAAGATTTCAGCCTTTTTATAGCTGAGTAATTCCATCGTCTATATGCACCACACCTTCTTTATCTATTCGTGTTTTGATTGCAGCATTTAATCCATTTACAGTTATTTATTGATAGATGTGTAGTTATCGCCATTTTATTGTTTCGTTTTTGTGGTTTTCTGTTCTTTATTTTCTTGTTCTCTTCTCTTGCATGTCGATGACTCTGTCGTATTGTTTGGATTTCTTTCTTTACTTTTTCTATCATCTCTTGTAGATTTTTGGTTTGTGGTTACATGTGCTTCATACATACCAAGATACGTTTACAGAAGTCTGTCTTAAGTTGATGGTTGCTTAAGTTTGAACACATTCTAAAACTACCATTTTTATTCACTTTCTCCATGCTTGTTTTAGTCATTATTTACTTGTTTGTATTCTTTAATTTACTGTTGCAATTACATGCGATCTTCCTATTTTTGCCTTGTAACCTTTGTACTAGCTTTAGTGTTGGTTGATCCACTGCTTTTATTATGTGTATGCCTTTGTGAGAATTTTTTCTTTGCAATATTTCCTTATTCACATTTTTTAAATTTTTTCTTCTTAAAGGAGTCCCTTTAACATTTCCTATAATATTGGTTCAGTGGTGATGGACTCCTTCAGCTGTTTCTTGTCTGGGAAGCTCTTTCTCTCTTCTTTGATTCTAAACAATAGCTTTGCTGGGTAATCTTGGTTGCCTGTCCTTTCTTTTTGTGACGTTGAATATTTTGTGCCAATCCTTTCATGTGTTTTTATATTCTTATTTTAATATTTTACTCTGGCTTCCCAGAGGTTGCTGCTGCGTGGCTTAGTGGTCAGCAGAGCCTTGCTCATTAAACACCTCGAGCCCATGTGGCTTCCATCCATTGCCAGTGGATCTGCGTGCAGATTGAGAAATACTCACAGGCCAGTCTCACGTTGGCTTCTGTTAGGCCTTTCTTACCACTAGGGTCACTTGGGTCTTCCCTGCACATGAGTCAGGTCTTTCTAGCAGCCAGGACCCTTCCATGGCTTTCTCAGTGCTGAGGCCTCCCCATTAAATTCCCACTGGTCAGCCACTCGCCCCATCTGGAATTGCAACCGTGGGCAAGAAACGCTGAGTTTTCTCCATGTTTCCTTCCAAGTTCACCACTTTAAACTGACAAAGTCATGGTTTTTGCACAGCCACCACCCCCCACAATTGAGATCACCCCCTCAGGCAACAAAGCTGCTGGTTTTCAAGACTGGCTTGGTGCTAGAAAAACGGGGAGGCTTGAGGATCAGGGAAGCCCCAGGCAGTAAGATTAGACTCCAGTGGTTCTTGACTGAAGCTCTAGAAGTTTTTCAAAAATCAACAATTTTCAATTTCTTGTCTCTTTGATCAATTACCAGAGCCCTAAGTTGTTTGTTTTTTTTTGTTTGTTTGTTTTTGTTTTTTTGCAGGGAGGAATGGCTGACCTCTTCACATGGCCATAGCCAGATGTCCCTAATATCCTTGTTATCTACTCTTGAATGTTGGAAATATTTGACACACACACAAATTAAAGGATGACAGCAGGGGTAAAATTAGTTTTCACCAAGCAAATCTAATTTCAAGGAAAAACATAAAAGTGAAAACACTTTAAAAAATAGAGGTCAATTGCTCAAGTAGCAATTCTGTGGATAATTGATTTTTACCATCAATATTTTTCAACACAGAATCTACAGTTGGCAAGTGCAGCCCTACAGAGAGCAACATAGGGTGAATGCATGCATCTAGACTATTCTACTAGTAAATCTGCATGCATGTGGCATGCCAAATACTTTAGAGGGATGACTTTGAAATGATTCCAACAATTTTCAAAGACTACCCATTCCATCTAAGTATTCGAAAATAAAAAATTACCTCATTAGTCTAGAATTTGTAACTTTATCACCACCTCCCCATTTTTATTCAGGGAGAGTGCCTGAAAATCCCTTTCGTAAAGGCATTAAGGTGTTAACTCACAGATGACACCATGGTTCTTTGAATATACCTAAGTGGAAAGAGCTGCATCGGAAACATGAAGAAAATTTATATTATTTTGTTTCCAATCCTTTTCTTTAAAAGAAATCATGTTTCTCTTCACTGTCTGGGCCAGACCTTGTACTCTGGGAAATGTATGCATTCAAGAATATACAATGACTAACCATTGTTAGAGAAAACTTCTTACAGTACCATGGCCTTCAATGTCTAAATGCCTTATAGTTTACAAAAAAGAATAATGTATCTTATATTTTTAACAATCCAAGGATATCTAGGAAACAACTTTACCAACTCTTAAGTTCACAAATATTTTCAATATTACAATTTAATATTTGAGGGTCAAAAATAGTTTATTCAAATCAAAGAATGTTAGAGCTGAAAAGGAGAGGACGCTTGTAAAAACAGTCACAGCTGAAAATTATCACAGTTAAAATATCATTATAGTGCAAATTATTAATTTCTTAACCCCAGAAGGGCTAAAAGACTGATGCCCAGTAATAGCCAAGGCGGAAAACAAACTAAGGGTTCAAACATTTGCCTTAATGATCCATTTATTAACATTCTTGAATTTTTCTTTATCTCCAAAACAAATATTGGTATAATTATAATGTATTATTAATTTACTGGCTGTATTAAATTATGACAATAACATGCTGTAAACCCCTCAAACATATCATATATTCACATGACCTAAGTCCCAAGGACAGGAAAGCGAGTGCAGGTTAACAGCATTTTGTATTCCACTGGAACTGGTTGGGGCAAGAACTTTTATCTGTTTATGTTGCTAGCTGGCTTCCTCCCAGAGTGCTCAAATGTTCCTTCCTTCAGCAACCACGCCCCCTCGTCCCATCTGTCTGCCAGGCCCATGTCAGGACCTCGGGCAGTCCTCACACGTCCCCAGTAATGTGGACAGGCTTGTTTCTCCCACTTGACTGTGAATTTCTCAAGACTCAGACCCTCCACAGCCTCATTTTTAACAGATAAAGCTCCTTGACAATCTCACAGAAGAAAATTCCCAGAATTTCCCTCTACCCAAATCCACCTGCTGTCTGCATCTCCTCTCTTCCATCACTCCTGTCCCAATAAAGGAGTCCTTCCTAGCTAAGGCCAATCCCCCCATCTGTGTTCGGACTCATCGGTTCCCCCTTCTCAGGAGCTCCTCTCTCCACTCTGCAGCCTCTCCATCCAGTCAGCATTCACACAAGCTTAAATCAGTTCTCCCTCCACCCTACTTTCCTATTAACGTCCTCTTCCCCTTTACAATCTAATTTCTCAGAAGAATTACCTACAAACACTATCTCCACTTGCTCATCATCTACTCAACCCACTGAACAATATGGCCGTTGTTCCCACCATTCCGCCAACACTACTCTAAGTCATGGCCAACGTCCTGGTCCCAAAATGCAGTGAGGTCTTAAAACTTGCATCAGAGCAGCAACACTTCACACTTTTGACCTCCTTACCTTCTTGAAACAATCCTTGGCTTTATGACACCCCCACGCATGATACTGTCATCCACTCTTTGGCAGTAATCATCACAACTTCTAACATCTGTACAGAACTACAGATTTTATAAAGCATTTCTACAAGTGGTACATTATTCATTTAATAAATATTATGAATGAATGTGTCACTTGATCCTCATGACCCCATAAGTTTACTAGGTAGGTGTTACTTCAGAGATGAGAAAAATCAGTCCCAAAGTAATTTTGTTAAGGTCACACAGAAAGGGTCAAAATGAGTACTCCCATCCATCTCTCAACTTCAAAACGCATGATCATTCCAATACTGCTATCATATGAACAGTTAAAACTATTTGAGGTTCCACATCTAAGAAAAAACGAGCCATGACCGAAACACCAAGAGCCCAATAATGAATAATGTCACCTCCGGCGGGGGGAGGGCAGGGGGAAGGCTGGTTAAAATCTCTCCGATCCACTTTTCATACATTATCTTAAGCATCTATTAAATTGTTTATACTTAACATTTCCAAGACTCAAATAGTGTCCTCACAGCAGACATCCGGTGAACACTTGAAGACATTAGCTTCAGTAGTTGATCAACTGCTGCTATAAACAACATGTGTAAGTCATTTCTCCCCCTTCTAAAGAAAAAGTCAGCAGCTGTTTGCTAAAAAATCTTTTTTTTTTTATTGTGGATGAAGACATTGCCAACTCATATATATCATTTTTATTTGTATTTTTTATTTTTTTTGCCTTGCAGTACTCCTGAGAAATTCAGAAATGCATTGACTTAAGCTCTATAAAACACAATCCAGTATTATGGCTGGGTTGTAAATTTCCCACATTTAGTTATTTCCCTAGAAATCAAAAGACAACTGATCAATTTGAAGTAGAGAAACCTTAATAAGTTAAAAAGTAAACACTGGCAAATAATCACAAATGTCAGAACATTAAAAGTACCATTACTTTTTCCATAGGAATATATAAAATAAATATCAGTTATACTTGATATTTACAAAATTAAAGATATTTTTTGATGGAAAACACTTTAAACACGATATATGAAAAACTTCACTAGCTTTAGAAATCAAGTTCAAATGCTTTAAGTTTTGACTCATAACAGCACTTTTTCAATAATTCTCAACATACCCCTGTCCCTGAAGACAGTTTATTTTTCACCTAATGAATGAATAAGTATTCGTAGAGTCTTTCCTTCCCTTTCAATTAACCATTCAAAGGTTAAAATAAAGTGGGGGCTTTATTTGGAGAGGGGATATTTAATGTTTTAATTGGCTGGTTTTAAGGAAGTCATTTACTTTACCCATGTGTTAGTTTTAGTTTTTGTTTTTTTCTTTTAATAATGGCAGAAAATGAAACGCAAACCACTATATGATACAGAATTATACTAAAGTCAAATTCAATGTCTGGCTGGATTTTCTGTTATAGTATTAGCAGTTGAAAACCATTAGGAATGTTGTGAAAATCTGTGGCAGCCAAAGCAAAATTCCACCACAAATTCTAGTAAGTTTGTTGAGAAGTAAACAGTAAAATCACCGTAGTTAAAATATTGCAATAAAATTCCTGTTAGCAATGTCCTATTGCTGACACTAGAATTATATGCTTCATCACTGTATGGTTACTAAGAAGATTCTTTGAGCAGATGGTTCATCTCTGACACAACTTAGCTGTAGAAAAGTAGATGAGTTATGTCTGGTTTACATCAACAAACACTTAGCATGCATACCAGTGAGCTATAGATTCAGTGACGATACAACTGAAACATTAGGTACTACAGCTTTAGTTCAAGGTCACATAATTAAATAGCAGCCATGTAAGGTCATCCTGTGATGTAGATATGCAATCCACCCATAACAGCTTTCAAACTTATGTTAAACTATGGGGTGAAGGGAGACAGGCTGTTTTGAATAAGGAAGGAAATATTCAAAATGTCATAAAAGGCATATAAAATATGATGACATGCTACTTAAATACCTACCACTTAAATTTTATTTTCAAATTAAAAGAGAAAAAATTTTTTGCATGTTCTATTTCTCCAAAATGAAAGATCATGTGTCTTCTTTCTTTAACTTACGAATTTTTATTTCAGACGCTTCACACTGAAATGAAACTCCAATGGTAAGCAGTAAATAATTAAGAATGGCCAGCAAAAGTTTCTTTGAAAAGATCATATAAAACCTAAGAGTAATAATTTCATAGAGAAATAATAATGGGCAAAACAGACAAAAGGCAGTTTGACAGTTCTAATATAGAACTGGTATGACAACTTCCTTTAAAGTATACTAAATAAAGAATGACAATATAAATAAATTAGCCAAGGAGACAGGAGATGTTGGGAAGTAGCAATGTCCCAGTTATTAAATTCTTCAGAAAAATCAGATTTACCCATCAACACTTAGACTTCCACTCTTCTAAATACAGTCAGAAAGTATACGTAATCACAGCAAAATTTACAAATAATCAAATTTAGTCCTGGCTCACGCCAGGACTATTTACATATTTGGATTAGTATCACTTCCACCTTCCTTTGTATCCAGATGTTTCTATTTTAAAGGCATATTAAAATTTACAAAATTTGCAAGAAATGTCTTTAAAGGTACAGCGTCAACAACTAATACAAACATGACATCCTGATTAAATTAAGTTCCAACTCAGGATTTTTTATGATAGGTTTATAAAAAAAAATAAATACACCCTTATTCTTAAGTTCCCAACACTTGATGCTAGTGCTGCTGAAGTAATGTCACTGCCCTCAGTGACCCTGAGGATGAGAATGGACAGTTCCTGGACTGACATATTGTACCTCTCATACTGACACCTCAGAGAGAGCCAGGAGGTGTCATGTTTAGGGATATTGCTAATTATAGTTCCGTAAATGCAGCTGTTATGATTTAACACTTATATAAAAGTCGTGTGCATGTGTGTAGGAAAACAATTAGTGTTAAGATACCTTTAAAAAGATATCTTCTGTCATAAAACAAAAACACAGACTCACAATATGTACTTGACAATAAAGAAAACAAACTGCTAATATATGCAACAACTCAAATGGATCTCAGGGACAACACACTAAGTGAAAAAAAAATGTATTCTCAAAAAGTTACACACTATGATTCCATTTTTATAGCACTCTTGAAATGACAAAATTATAGAGATAGAGAGCAGTTAGTGGTTGCTAGAGGTTAAGGTGGGGGCTGAGGAAGGAGGTGGCTGTGAGGGGTGCCATGAGGGGTCCTTGACATATCTGACGGTAGTGGTGGTCACATGAATCTACGCATGTGATAAAATTGCATAGAACCAAACACACACATTCCACCTCAGGACAACTGTGTACTACCTCCCAGGGACAACCTTGTTCTTGGCCTGTCTACCTACACAAAGTCCTCTAAAGATGACTCATATACACTTCAGATCAATTTTCTGCACTATGCGGATAAGCCACTGCTATTATTTCTTCTTCCTTTTCTTTTTTCTTTTTTGGTAAATCTCTGGATTATCTTTAAAGGACAAACAACATGTCTTCAGTTTAAATGAACTTGAAAGTCAGAAAAGGAAATAAAGAGCGAATATATACCTAGTAGTATTTTTGTCTTTTTATTTTTCTTATTTTTTTTTTTAAGTTAAGATAAAAAAGCAAATGTTTCTAGCTTAAATTAGGTCAAATCAGAGAAGGAAAAAAGCAGATAATATAGCAAACACTTCCTCTTGCGACACCAGCAATTTCTAAAAGCATTAACGATATATTTATTAATTTTAGAGAAAGTACAACCGCAAACAAATACATGACTTTTTCCAAAAGGCCACTTTGTGATAAAGTACATAAATATAGTGTTCATGGTTTCTTTAAAGTGCTATGTATGTCGTCTCTGGCTTGAGAATCATCTATTGCTTTAAAAGGTCTTTCAACACAGCTCCAGCACTGTTGTCAGGTGACACTGGCAAAGGTGTAAATGTGGGTAACACATCCGAGATGGGTTTCAAAAGAAGATGCCCAGGCCCACCAGGCCCAAGTCCAGCTGGGTTAATGAGAGGCACAGCCGCGGAGCGGGGAGCCAAGAAAGGGTTCAAATCGGTTCTTCTACCAGACCTGGATTCTGTTGTATCTAAATGATAAAACATCAATTATTTAGTCTCCTATAAGTTATTGAGTCAACACTATATGTGTGTTTTAGGATCCCAGATTTCGCCCCCTAATAAATTTAATTCTGATAAGCAGAGCCTGTGAAATATGGAACAGTGAAAGGACAGGACAAGAGAAAGGAATGGGAGAAAGAAAAGGGGAGAGAAGAATATTTGAATGTATAGCTAATACTTCACATTAATATTATGTAACACATTTTGTTGTTTTGTATTTAAATATCAGTTATATAACTGATTAATTTCACTTACTACTGAAGGGGACCAAAAGTTTTGCCTTTTGGGATACTGATATTTAAGCTGGTTATTAAGAAAAGACTCAAAGAACCTTTGGTCCTCCTTCCCCTTTCCTGCTCAAGAGATTCAGAGGGAAAGACTTACTTCAGGAAGATCTGAGAATGCTCACCCTCAGCAACCTAATTTGAATTGAGTATTGTAAACAGGAGGGCTTCAGGCAGGGGCCTGTTAGAAATATAGCCCTGTGTTGCAATGTTTTTGGGTTGCCTTGCAAGAATTTGCCTGCCACTATGTTCTACTCTTCTTCAACTACCTATAAATCGCACATTCTCACTTTTGAAATCTCTACCCCTCCCCGCTCCACCGTCTCTTTCCATTTTCCAAAAATGTCATATATATCCAATGTTGCCTCACTGCCTTTGGAATTTTCATGCTTTTGTGAATTCCCCACACGCATGCATTAAAAGTTTGATTTTCTCCTCTTAATCTGTCTCTGTTGATTATTAGCCCAGCTAGAAGATCTTAGAAAGTGGGAGGAAATGTACTACATTTTTTAGTCTCCACACTATAATAACAGCTTTTAAAAGTGTTTTCTAAGTTATAAGGCAAACTCTCTAACTATTTACCTGTAAAAGGACTTGAGAATTTGGTTTCCCCCAAATAGTCATGATGATCATGAAAAACACTGGCACCCATATTTCAATAATAAAATTTAATATTAATTTACAAAAAAAAAAATATATATATATGCATTACATTACCTGATCATCTTTTAGACATTCAAAGGTTTGAAAACAATTCTCAATTAGATATTTTCTCTATAAAGTTAGGATTTACAATTAGTTTTTATTGGAATAGGTAATTGGTTTATGCCCTAATGTCTTAGTGGATGAACTGTGTTTTTATTTCTTACCCACTAACAACTTCATTGTTAAGAGACCAGCAGCCCCTTGAAGGCGCCCTCTTCAGCACTGGGAATCTCAAATAAGGAGCAGGCATAGTGAGTGCAGTCAGCATTAACATAATGGCCAGGTGGAGAGCCAGAGAGAAAGAGCAACTGGGGGGAGGATCGTTTTATAAGCTTAACCTGTACTGCATACTTGAAACGAATAATAAAATAAAATTAAAAAAAAAAAAAAAGGCCTCTAAGACAAAGAAAGCACCAAAACAAATTAATCAAATCTACTTACACAATTAAGTACCCCTAGGTCCTCAAGCTGTACCCTCCTGTGAATAACAACTTTCCAAACTGAAAAAGCTTATGATGATATTAGTAAGCTCTTAGACTAGCCACACAACTTCCAAATCCAGGATTAAAAAAGACTCAAATTGTCTTTTTTTCATGCAAACCCTGTACCAACTCAGAGCATCAATGGTTTTATCTCAGATCCAGCTGGGCACATGACCTGATACCTGAATGGAGGAGAGTAGGAACGAGGGAGGAAAGTGGAGAGGGGAAAAGGATGGAGAGGAGGGGAAGGGGGTAAAGAGAAGGGGAGACCCTGCCATAATGAATTTTGGAAATCGCCTTAAGATACTACAACCTACTGTAACAAGGAAAAAGTGTTTTTAGTATGGTCTACGCCTGTAGATGAAGTTAAGACGTTCCACTAAATTTAGCAGCTAAACCTCTTATCTGAAGAACAAATAAATGTTACCATTTTCTCTTCCTATAAAAAATTCATGAGAATAGAAATATTTGTCAAAATGACTAAGCGAGTTTTTAAAATTTCAGAATATAAATTATTTAATGTTTTATCCACATTAAATATCTGACGTGATACAAACTTAAACATATATAATAACATATATATACCTTTACAGTCCAATTAGCAAACAAACGTGTTAGTCTGAATTAATATATGAAGATTTCAGGAAAAAAGGGACTTTACAATAAAGAATCTATTTATAATTTAAAGGATAGACTTAAATTTCAACTGAAGAAATTTTACTGCATGCTAATACAGGGGATATGAATATAAATAAGACCCTTATAAACCAGAGGGACAGAAAACTATGTGCACATATGCAGAGCCACCAAACCATCTTCTTCCTGGCAGATCTTTTGACATACAAGAATGCTTCATTAAATTCCTGGATGTCTAAGCCAGTTTACTACACTACTCTTATAAATATTATTAACACACCAAGGTTTGGTTATTGAGTGTAACACTTAGATTTTCGCAGGGAAAAAATCTTTAACTATAAACCACACTTCTAACTCTTACTAGCAATAAGCACCATTAGTGAAAAAGGCGAACGAGTGACCAGGCAAAGGCTTACCAGTTCACCACCACTGCCAAGAGCAACTCAAAGTGGCTTATGCGGGGAGAGAGAACAATTAAACCAATATGCAAAGGGAAAATAGTTTCCTATTGTTTAAATTACTCTAAGCCAATTAAAATACCGGGTTGCTACAAGAATATATGAAGCCAAAATATAATGCCTTATTGGAATTTTTGAAGAAGTCACATTGCACATTTTCAAAAACACTAACTAAAACTCTAGTTAATATCACTGTTAAATATAATCATAAATTAAACATTCAAATTTTTAAATTGAAGAAAAAATAAATAAATTTTACCTTTAAAATTTTCTGGTACATTTGTATCTAGTTTTCTCCTTGTTGGTGAATCCAGAGGTTTCATATCATGAATAGAAAGCTTTGGTGGTGGAATAGATGGATGAGATTCCGTTTCTAGAAATTTGACAAAAAGTTCTGAAAAAGACTAAGAAGAAAATATTTGAAAAAAAAAGAGAAAATATTTTAGTTATATTAGGCAGGTATTAAAATTATATTCACTACAACTTAAAAAAATACTAGCTATTCTAATTAAATATTAAAAACTAATCATGCCATCTGAATCATTTCTTTTTTTGAATCATTTCTTTATAACTAAGCTTTATGAAAAATTAAAACTGCAAGTACTTCAGTTATATAGACATACGCAAAAACTTTAACTTAATAATTTTTGATGATAGCACTTTACAAATCTATACTCAGAATCAGCTACCTGATAACACTTAAGATTTCTTGCCACTAATGACACTTAAGACGGTAAGTCTTAAATCATTTTAATAACTGTTTACAGACATGAAAACTTATATTGACAGAAAATAAATATTAAAGTCACATTTTTCTAAAGTAAACCCAATCAATGAATATAGCAAAAGCTCACAAGTAATTTTATCAGATTAAAATAATGTAGTATAGACCTTTCTTTTAAATTAAGTTTTCTGCCATCCAATTTCAAATAGGGTTTTATCTTTAGCTAGCTGAGAGTAAGTCACCTATCCTTAGTTTCTCCTTTTAAAAATAAAGAAGTAAACTCCACATTCTCACAGTGCTACTCAAGTCAATTGATGTTCATCTTAAACCGACTAACATAACAGTCACTTTGTTTTCATGCTTATTAACTACCTCCTTCTGCAAAAATGGAATCGTTGAGGGCAGGCACTTTATCTGATTTGCTGCTGCATCCCCAATGCATAGAACAGGAAGGTACACAGCAGATGCTCAATAAGTATTTATTATCTCAATGACTACATAGATACATACATGCGAAAAATAAAGTCGCTATCTTTAAGAATCTCATAATTTAGTAGTAAGACAAATAATTGTGTGCCTGCAGCATCATGATCAAATACAAATAAAGGAACAGTTAATACTTTGAAAAATAAAAATAAAAATAAATTAAAGTTAGTGCTCGCTTGAGCGGCACATATACTAAAAATTAAAACCTATATTCAATAAATTTATTAAAACTGCTTATCATTAAGTTAATCATATCTTTGGATCTTAATTTCCATAACTTCAAAATAGATGGGCTATGTAAAATAACTTTAAAAAGAAATCTGATTCTTTGCAAATGAATGCGATGTACAATCATCTCACCCTTCATATTCAGCAAAAATAAAATGAGCGCTTACACTATTAAGCATAGATTGTTGATTTGGTCTCAGAGGTGTGTTGGGGACACTTTTTGATCCTCCTCCAAGCCACCCGGTCATCCATCTGGTAACACTGCCCTGATCTTCATTCAACAACTGGAAAATGATTTTAAGACAGAAAAATATTATCAGTACAAGAAAAGAAAAAATAAGAACCATTTTTTACATGATTTCAAATGGTATCCAACTATGCTTTTCCAATTCAATTTCTAGTAAATGATTCCTACTGACAGAGGCTACAAATACAATGAAATCTCATCCCAAACACTATCTCGGTTAAAATTTGAAAACTGTCATGTCTCAAAATTTCAGCATTCTGATAAGAGAGGTGGCTTATATGTTACAAAATATTTAAACTAATATTATACAAATTTAGAGTGTTCCAGTCAAGATAGTGGAGTAGGTAAACACTGTTCGCCTCCTTCCATGACCACATCAAAATTACAACGAAATTGTAGAACAATCAACCTGGAGAACCAACTGAAGACTAGCTGAATGGAAGTCTTATAACTATGGTTATAAAGAAGAAGCCACGTTGAGACTGGAGGAAATGGCAGAGACGCAAAATAGGCTGGCCCCACACGTGTGGCGGTTGAGAATTGGGAGGAATAGCTCAGCTACAGAGGTACCCTCTGAGGAATGAGGGGTCCCAGCCTCACACCAGGCTCCCCAGGCCAGAGAACCAGTGCCAGCAAGCGGAGCCCAAACAACATCTGTCTGTCCAGGTGACACTGAAGGCTGCTGGAAACCCAGGTGTCGGCTTAATGAGCCTGCACACAGACTCACTGGCTCACAGGCACTCACTCTAGGCTATAGTAGAGGGACAGCGGCTTGGGAGTTGTCAGAGACATATAGGGAAAAACTGAGTTGTATGGATTCAGGGCCAAAGGCTGGAGGGACAGCCACCATTGTCCCTGTATTGAGCCCTCTTCCCACACAGCTGGCAGGCAAGTGCTATATTTCATGTGCTGAGCCCTCCTTGACTGTGGCCAAATCTAAATCAGCATTAGCCTGGTGAACCCCACTTGCTCCACCATGACGACTCCCTGAAACCCTGCCTCACCCAACTTACACACTGTCTGGGCCCTATAAGCAGCTGGTAGGCAGCAGCAGGCCTCAGCGTACACTATGACTTTTGCTGAGGTGCCTCAGACCCGGCATTGGTGGCAGCCAGCCTCGATTTGCAGTGTCACCTCTCCCATGCACCTCCAGGTCCCACACAGGCAGCTATGAATCACGGATCGCTCTGTAGCTCCTACGAGGAAGCCTCAGCAGGTTACAGGCAGCAGGTGACCATGGCCTGCATGGAAGCCCCTCCCAAGAGGCCCCAGAACACACCTGGAGGCTGCCACAGAGCTCCGCCTGATTAGCTCCACAAGCAGCACACCCAAAGGGTGGTCTCCCAGCAGGCAGCAGAGCTCGCTGGAGCAATCCCACTCTGTCAGGTCAGCCACGGCACAGGAGCTCATATGCTGTGCGTGTGGCCAGTCAGCCTGAAGGTCAATTCCACACACTGATGTGCCAACAGCAATCAAGGCTCAACTACAACAAGAGGGCATACACAACCCACACAAGGGACACTCCTGGAGCACTGGGTGCAGGAGATCAGGAAGACTGCACCACTGGGCCCCACAGGGCACCTACTATATAAGGCCACCTGGCCAAGACTGAGAGATATAGCAGATCTAATTAATACATAGAAACGAACACAGAGAAGCTGAGCTTAGTGACAATTTCAATAAAGAGACAGTAAGGATAAAAAAGGACACAGACACCATAAAAAGAACCAGTCAGAAATGAAGACTACAATAACTGAAATGAATATCTTAGAAGGAATTAACAGCAGATTAAATGAATCAGAGGACTGAATCAGTGACTTGGAAGACAAGGTGGCAGCAAACACCCAATCAGAACAACAAAAAGAAAAAAAGAATTTTAAAAAATGAGGATAGTTCAAGGGACCTCTGGGTCATCAAGTTTAACAACATTTGCACCAGGGGGTATCAGAAGGAGAAGAGAGAGAGGAAGGGATTGAGAACCTATCTGAAGAAATAATGACTGAAAACTTCCCTAACCTGGCAAAGGAAATAGTCTTACAAGTCCAGGAAGCACAGAGAGTCCCAAACAAGATGAACCCAAACTGACCCACACCAAGACATATCATAATTAAAATTCCAAAGATTAAAGACAAAGAGAGAATCCTAAAAGCAGCAAGAAAAAGGCAGCCAGTTACTTACAAGGGAGCTCCCATAATATTGTCAGCTGATTTCTCAACAGAAACTTTGCAGGCCAGAAGGGACTGGCATGAAATATTCAAAGTGATGAAAAGCAAGCACCTACAACTAAGACTACTCTAACCAGCAAAGCTATCATTTAAAATTGAAAGAGAGATAAAGAGCTTCCCACACAGGAAAAAGCTAAAGGAGTTCATCATTGCCAAAGTGGGATTACAAGAAATGCTAAAGGGACTTCTTTAAGAAGGAAAAAAGGGATAAAAAATGTGAATAATAAAATGGCAATAAGTATGTACCTATCAATAATCACTTTAAATGTAAATGAATTAAATGCTTCAATCAAAAGACCTAGGGTAGATGAATAGTTAAGAAAACAAGACCCATACATATGCTTGTCTACAAGAGACCCACTTCAGATCGAAAAGATACACACAGACTGAAAGTAAAGGGATGGAAAAATATATTTCATGTTAATGGAAATGAAAAAAAAAAAGCTGGGATAAAAATACTCATATCAGACAAAATAGACTTTAAAACAAAGACTATAAGAGACAAAAGACATTGCATAATGCTAAAAGGATCAATCCAACAAGAGGATATAATCCTTGTAAACATTTATGCACCCAACAGAGGAGCACCTAAATATATAATATATAAGCAAATATTGACCAACATAAAGGGAGAAATCAACAGTAATACAGTCATGGAGGGGACTTAACACCCCACTGACATCAATGGACAGATCTTCTAGACAGCAAATCAAGAAGGAAACAGCGGCCTTAAATGACTCACTAGACCAGATGGATTTAATTGGTATTTTTAGAACATTTCACACCAAAGCAGGAAAATTTACAATCTTTTCAAGTGCATATAGAACATTTTCCAAGAGAGATCACATGTTAGGCCACAAAAGTCTCATTAAATTTACGAAGACTGAAATCATATCAAGCATCTTCTCTGACCACAATGGTATGAAACTAGAAATCAGTCACAAGAAAAAAATTGAAAAACGCACAAACACGTGGAGGCTAAATAACATGACACTAAACAATGAATGGGTTAACAATGAGAACAAGGAAAAAAGTCAAAGTTACCTTGAGACAAATGAAAATGAAAACACAAGTACCCAAAATCTATGGGACAGAGCAAAAGCAGTCCTAAGAGGGAAATTCATAGCAATACAGGCCTACTTCAAGAAACAAGAAAAATCTCAAATAAATAATCTGACCTTATACCTAAGGGAACTAGAAAAAGAACAACAAAGCCCAAAGTGAACAAAAGGAAGGAAATAATAAAGATCAGAATGAAAATAAACAAAATAGTCTAAAAATACAATACAAAAGATCAATGAAATTAAGAGCTCGTTCTTTGAAATGACAATCAAAATTGATAAACCTTTAACCAGGATCATAAAGAAAAAGAGAGGACACAAAAAATTAAGTTAGAAATAAAACAGAGTGACAACCTGACACCACAGAAATACAAAGGATTATAAGAAAATACTATGAACAATTACATGCCAACAAATCGGACAATCTGGAAGAAAGAAATGGACAAATTCCTAGTAACATAATAATCTTCCAACAGTAGATCAAGAACAAACAGAAAATCTGAACAGACTGATGACTACTAATGAAATAGAATCAGTAATCAAAAAACTCCCAACAAACAAAAAAGTCCTGGACCACACGGCTTCACAGATGAATTTTACCAAACATTCAAAGACAAATGATAGGTTTTGTCTGAACACCTATCCTTTTCAAATTACTCCAAAAAATTCAAGAGGAGGGAAGGCTCCCAAGCTCATGTTATGAGGCCAACATTATCTTGATTCCAAAACCAGACAAGACACTACAGGAAAAAAAAAATTAGAGCCCAATATTCCTGATGAACATATATGCAAAAGGCGTCAACAAAATATTAGCAAACTGAATTTAGCAATACATTAAAAAGATCATACATCATGATCAAATGGGATTTATTCTTGAGATGCAAGGCTGGTTCAATATCTGTAAATCAATTAACATGATACACCGCATAAACAAAATGAAGAATAAAAATCAAATAATCATATCAATAGATGAAGAAAAAGCAGCTGACAAAATCCAGCATCCATTTATGATAAAAACTCATAGCAAAGTGGAACTAGAGGGAACATACCTCAACATAATAAAGGCCATAGATAAGACAAACGTATAACTAACATCATACTCAATAGAGAAAAGCTGAAAGTGTTTTCCTTAAGATTAGGAACAAAACAAAGATGTTCACTTTCACTACTTTTATTCAATATAGTATTGGAAGTCCTAGCCACAGCAATCAGACAAGAAAAAGAAATAAAAGGTATCAAAATTGGAAAAGAACAAGTAAAACTGTCATTATTTGCAGATGAAATGATACTATAGATAGAGAACCCCAAAGAGTCCACAAAACTATTAGAACTGAGAAATGAATTCAGTAAAATGGCAGGCTACAAAATTAATATTCAGAAATCAGTTACACTTTTATACACCAATAATGACTATCAGAAAGAAAAATTAAAACAACCCCATTTACAACTGCATAAAAAATTTTTTCTAGGAATAAATTTAACCAAGGAGGTGAAAGACCTGTACTCAGAAAAGTATAAGACATTGAAGAAAAAAACTGAAAATACATATAAATGGAAGCATATACCATGCTCATAGATAGGAATAATTAACTGTTAAAATGTCCATACTACCCAAAGCAATCTATAGATTCAATGTAATCCCTATCAAAATACTAATGGCATTTTTCACAGAACTACAGAAAATAATCCTAAAATTTATATGGAGCCACAAAAGACTCCGAATGGTCACAGCAATCCTGAGAAAGAACAGAGTTGAAGGTATCATGCTACCTCATATCAGATTATACTACAAGGCTACAATAATCAAAAAAACATGGTACTGGCATAAAAACACACACATAGATCAATGGAACAAAACAGAGAGCCCAGAAATAAACTGATGCCTATGTGTCTATGGCCATGCCACTCTGAACAAGCCCAATCCCATCTGATCTTGGAAGCTAAGCAGGGTTGGGCCTGGTTAGTACTTGGATGGGAGACCACCTAGGAAGACCAGGTGCTGTAGGCATAAAAAAATTAAAAAATAATAATAATAATAAGGGATTGTAAGCTGACAAGGTCCTTGCAATCTGTGAGGTCAACCAAGGGTTGGCCTCACCTAAAAACAACAACAACAACGACAAAAAAAAAAAAAAAAAAAAAACCCTGATGCTTATGTGGTCAATTAATCTATTATAAAGGAGGCAAGAGTATACAATGGGGTAAAGGCGGTCCATTCAATAAAAGGTGTTGGAAAAATTGGACAGAGACATACAAAAAAACTAGACTACCTTCTTTACTATATACAAGAATAAACTCAAAATGGATTAAAGACTGAAATCATAAAACTCTTAGAAGAAAACACAGGCATTAAACTCTCCACCATTGCTGTTAGTAATTTTTTCTGCTATTATCTCCTCTGGCAAGGGAAACAAAAGAAAAAATAAACAAATGGGACTACCTCAAACTAAAAAGTTTTTGCACAGCAAAGGAAACCATCAGCAAAACGAAAAGACAACCTACCGAATGGTAGAAGATATTCACCAATGATACATCCGATAAAGGTTAATGTCCAAAATTTATAAAGAACTCATACAACTTAACAGCAAAAAAAAACAAACGATCCAATTAAAAAATGGGCAGAGGACCTGAAGAGACATTTCATCAAGGAGGACATACAGATGGCCAATAGACATATGAAAAGATGCTCAAGGTCACTAATCATCAGAGAAATGCAAAACGATGAGATATCACCTCGCACCTGTCAGAATGGCTATCACAATGAGATATCACCTCGCGCCTGTCAGAATGGCTATCATCAATAAATCAACAAACAAGTGTTGGCGAGGATGTGGCGAAATGGGAACCCTTGTGCACTACTGACGGGGCTGTGAACTGGTAAAGCCACTATGGAAAACAGTATGGAGGCTCCTCAAAAAAGTAAAGGTAAAACTATCTTATGACCCAGCAATTCCACTTCCGGGTATTTATCCAAAGAAATTCAAAACACATTCCAAAAGATATATGCACCCCTATGTTCACTGCAGCTTTATTTACCATAGTCAAGATACGGAAGCAATCTAAGTGCCCATCAATAGATGACTGGATAAAGAAGATGTGGTACATATATACAATGGATTACTCTGCCATAAAAAAAATTGAAATCCTACCCTTAGAGACAACATGAATGGACCTAGAGGGTATTATGCTAAGTGAAATGTCAGAAAACAAAACAGAAACAGACTCATATATACAGATAAACTTTTAGTTGCCAGATATGGGGCGGGGCTGAGTGAAAAAGAGAAAGGGATTAAGAAGTACAAATTGGCAGTATCAAAATAGTCATGGGGACATAAAAGTACAGCATAGGGAATATAGTCAATACTACTGTAATAACTATGTATGGTGCCAGGTGGGTACTAGACTTAAGAAGGCAAATCACTTCGTAAATTATATAAATGTCTAACCACTATGCTGTAAAGCTAAAACTAATATACAATAATATTGAATGTTACCTGTTTGTTATTGAAAAAATTTTTTAAATATAGCCACTTAATGCTATGAATGTTCCATAAGGGCTAATTTAGCAGCATCCTACAAATTTGGATACTAATTTCCATTTTAATTGTTTTTTGACTCATGTGTCAGAAAGGCTAAATGACTGACCCAGAGACATAGAGTGAAAACATGGAGGATTTGGAATTTGAATCCGAATCTACCGAATTCCAAAGCTCATGCTCTTAGTCACTATGCAGTTCAACATGGCAAACCTTTCACACCTCTATATTTTCATATATAGGACTGTTTCTGCCTCAACACTCTTCCTAACTTCTACTTGGCTTTCAAACTTACTGCAAACATTACCTACCTAGGAATAACACTGAAATAAAATTAAAAAAAAAAAATCAACAGAGTGAATACTAACATCAGTTGAGGGGTTACTAGATTCCAGATAATATCTATTTAATTTTTTATAACAACCCTGTATGATCAAAAGTATAATTTCCATTTTAATGCTGAGGAAATGTCCAAGGTCATAATCTGGTAAGTGGGTAAGTGCCAGAGGTGATATTTAAACTATTTTCTAGCTCCAAATTCTACTAGAAAGTTTAAGAAGGCCTAGGAGCAGGTACCTAACCAAAAATATCCATCAGAACTCCCTAAAAAGCTTTTCAAAAATATACAAGCTCAAACCAGTTGCATTACTATACACTAACCATGAACAATCCAAAAAGAAATCAAGAAAACAATTCCATTTACAATAGCATCAAAAAAAATTTTTAAAAATAAGAAATAAACTGAATAAATAAATTTAACTGGGACAAAAGACACTAAAGAATACAAAACACTGCTGAAAGAAATTGAAGAAGACATAAATAGATGGAAAGACATCCTACATTCATGGCTTAGAAGATATATTATTGCTAAGATGACAATCTTACACAAAATGATCTGCAGATTCAAGCATTTCCTATCAAAACTTCAACAGTATTTTTTTGCAGAAATAGAAAAATCCATCCTAAAATTCACATGAAATCTCAAGTTACCCTAAAGATGCAAAATATTTTTGAAAAAGAAAAACAAAATTGGAGGATGCACAGTTCCTAATTTCACAGCTTACTAGAACAATAAAGTAATCAAAACTCTGTGTTACTAACATAAAAACAGATACATAAGCCTATGGAATAGAATGAAGAGCCCTAAAATTAATGTTCACATGTATGGTCAACTGATTTTCCATCAGAGTGCCAAAACCATTCAGTAGAGGAAATGACAGTCTTTTCAACAAATATTGCTGGGAAACTGGAAATTTACAGGCAAAAAATGAAGCTAGACCCTTATGTCACTCCATATACAAAATTCATTCAAAATAAATCAAAGACCTAAACATAAGAACAAAAACTATAAAACTCTTAGAAGAAAACATAGGGGAAAATTGTCATGGCTTTGGATTTGGCAGTGGTTTCTTAAATATGACACGAAAGCGCAAGCAACAAAAAGTAAAAATAGTAAAATTGAACTTCATCAAAATTAAAAACTTTTGTGCAAATAACACTATCAATACAGAATAAGAGAAAATATTTGCAAATTATACACCTGATAAGGGACTGATATACAGAGTATATAAAAGACTCCTCCAAGTAAACAAAAAAACAAACAACTCAATTCAAAAATAGACAAAGGACTTTAATAGACATTTCTCCAAAGAAAATATATAAATGGCCAACAGGGCCGTGAAAAGATGCTCAACATCACTCACTAGTCATTAGAGAAATGCAAATCAAAATCATGAGATACCACTTCATACCCACTAGGATGCTATTACCGGTTTGCAAAGAGAAGAAAAGAGGAGAAGAGAAAATAGAGAAAAGAAAAAAAGAGAAAAGCAAAGAGAAAAAAGAATAAGTGTTGGCAAGGATGTAGAGAAATTAGAACCCTTATTCACTGCTGGTGGGAATGTAAAATAGTGCAGCAGCTGTGGAAAACAGTATAGCAATTCGTCAAAAAATTAAATACGGAATTACCATATGACCCAGCAATTCTACTTCTGGGTTTATACCCAAAAGAATTAAAAACAAGGACTCAAACAGACATCTGTATAGCCATGTTCATAGCAGCATTATTTATAATAGTCAAAAGGTAGAAGCAACCAAAGTGTCCATTGCTGATGAATAAACAAAATATAGTATATGCATACAATGCAATATTAATATATTTAACATACTCAAAAAGGAAATATTGACACATGCTATTACATGGATGAATCCTGAAGACATATGCTATGTGAAATAAGCCAGACACAAAAGGATAAATATCATATGGTCGCCAGTGGCTGTTGAGGGTCATGGGGAGGAGAATGAGTAGTTCGTATTTACAGGATATTGAGTTTAAATTGGGAAGATGAAAAAGTTCTGAAAATGGATGGTGGTGATGGTTGAAACAACAATGTGAATGAATACCACTGAACTGTACACTTAAAAATGGTTAAAATGGTAAATTTTTGTTATGTTTTATCACAATAAAAAATAAATTTTAAAAAGTAAAAAAAAAATTATACGAATTGAACAAATACACTTTTTCACTGTAATATGAAATGATTCCATTTCCACACTATTAAAAATATTGTATTCCAGGAAAAGTTATATAACATACAAGGAAAGAATATTTTATACAACGCCACTGTTTTAGTTATAACTGCATTTAGAATGGCTCACATTGTCCACTTACCTGCTCCATTTCCTCCCTTTTGATACCCAGGATGCTTCCCATTAATCGTAACACTTCATGACGCTGATTTTTTGGTGTGTGGAAATGTCCAATGAAGAGATTTCTCATTAGGACTCTACAAAAATGAAAGCAGAAACTGCTCAACTAACTCAACGAGTTATCTCAATACTTGGTGTACCCAAACAATAAACACTAATCATATAAATATTTCATTGTACTTAAACAATACTTAATTATAAAAAACACTAAACAATATTTTCAAGTAACTTTAGAAAAAATCTTGACACATCTGACTAAGAATACTTCAAACAACCTAAAATATATAGCTTTTAAAACATCACTTATTGGCCATCCACTTTCTTCAACCAAATAACAACTGAGATGGTCCTCATCAGTACTTCTCAGTGCCTGTCTGGGTTGATGTCAACCTTCAGGAGACACTTCAGATTTTTCCCTCCCCAGCTGAAACAGCAATGACAGTTTGTGTGCTTAACGGTCATGCTTATATTTCTCCGTTAATGTTTATTAAAAATTTGCTAATAATATTGAAATCTTTAAAATATTAATGGTATATTTCATATATACCTAGATGTCAGACCTCATACATGAGCAAAATATGTTCAATTAAGGATAGTAAAGAGTAAAACAGAATGGTAAGAATAAACTTTTTTCTAAGTGCAGTGGTGATGTTTTAACTCTTCCATATGGTTTTAAGAAAAAGAATTTGAACTGGGAAAATCTATTTAAGCAAGAGAAGAGGAATTATTCTACTGACTCCTCATTAAAACTACCTATATCTCATCGCTATGTAGGAAAAAGAAAAGGCTTTTAAAAACTCAATCACATATAAACATCACATGCAGAAGTTTTTGCCATAAAAGTAGTCTCCATAAAATACATAAGAGTTAAAAGGCAGAGCATACTTGTCTACTTTTCCTTCTGTGCTGTTTACTAAGTTCATTAATTTCTTTTGTACATCATCCAGCATTTCTTGTCGGAGCTCATCTGTTATAAAACATGTGAAAAAAGACAGTCATTAACTGATTAAAATAGCACAAATGAATACATAATGAGATCTAAGACATCTTTTCTGAGAATTTTGAATACATGCACTTATTTTAATTAGGAATTTTTAACTACTTCCACCTCTTCTTTGGTTCAGGTAAGCAGGCTTTCTGGTATAGAAGTTACCTGGAGGCCAGAGTACGCATTAATTCACATGGTTTACCCTCGATAATCAATCCTTTAACAGAAAATTTAAATACCAGAAAAAAAAAACAAAGTTTTCATTCTCTTCAGAAACTTAATAGCAAAGAAGAGATTTTCACCATTGCTTCCTTGCATGAAACATTTCCAAAGCCACCCTTTAATGGAAGGAAACAGAAAGGACAATTTTAGATTTTCCTTTTTCCATTTTCCTGGCTGGACTCCGCCTTTCGGTGAGCTAAGAAAGTATCTAACACAACTAAGACCATGCATGGCTCAGGATGTAGTTGATAGGGCTAATTCTGGGGTAAATAAATTGCAAAATACAATTCATATTACTGGTTCTTACAATTTATGACTGATTTAGAAGGATGTTTGGACTATTTTATTTTAAAATTCTTACTTAAAAAGGAAGCCATATATGTAAAATCTTGGTGGAATTCTTGGAATTTGAGCAGTATTAAAGGCAAAATCTAGGATTACGATAGGAAATAGCCTGTTCATAAATTCAACCACGCCCCTGGGCCAAGGATTTCTGGACCAGAGTTCACGCCTACCACCTCAGACATGGACAGTGTGAGCTGAGAGATGCTCATTAACTTCAGGCTACATCATAAATTTCATTCTGAAAGAAATGAAGAAAAAGCTGCTTTGCAACAAAGCTCTATATTCAAATCAAGAAACACATCCAAATACTAGACGTGGACCTCTACCCACAAAACTACTCTATGAGTTATGCTGCATTTTCCTAGCAGTAGCTGGATACGAGTTCCTTTGTCAGATATTGTAAATATTTTCTCCCATTCTGTGGGTTATCATTTCACTCTTGACGGTATCCTTTGAAGTAGAAATTTTTTTTCGTTTTCTTGAAGTCTAATTTATTTTTCCTTTTGTTATGCTTTTAGTGTCATATCTAAAAAACCACTGCCTAACTCAACTTCACTGAGATTTACTCCTTTGTTTTGTTCTGAGTTTTACAGTTTTACTTCTAAAATATAGGTCTCGTTATGACCCATTTTGAGTTAATTTCTGTGCATGGTGTAAGGCAGGGGTCCAATTTCATTCTTGTGCACGTGGATATCCAGATTTTCCAGTACCATATGTTGAAAAAACCATTCTTTTGCACTCTTGTTGAAAATCTATTGACTATAAATGTATGCTTTAGTTCTGGACTTTCAATCCCCACTGCAAGACTTCTGTAAATGATTTTTCTTCTGCCTGGAAAGCTCCTTTCCATTGGCACTACCTATTAACTCCTATTCACCCTTCACATCTCCGTTCCTAAGTCACTTTCTCAAAATTTTCTCTGAACCTTACAGATTTAAGCCAGGTACATCTGTTTAATGTTTTTATTCTGTCTTGTACAAGCCTAAAATTCTGACTTACAGTGCTAAATGTATACATAAAATTGCTTATGGTTTTTCTAAATTGTAAAAATCTGAATTGCCAAATGTAATTCATATAATAGGCTAACTTTACCAAAATAGAGATGGTTGCCATAACCATATTATAAAAGTGAGGTTTGTGTTCGGAAAATCTACTACAAACGTTTCCTTTCCTTTCTTTCCAGTAAGGAATTTAAGCTTGGACGTTTAAAAAAAAAAAAAAAAAAGAGAGAGAGAGAGAATAAGACTATTACTAAAGTCCGAGTCAGTAAAAGACATTTTAGATTCTTAAGGTGCACGTATATGCTATGAACAAATGGTGCTGTCCGGGCCTCTTCTAGTACTACGTTCTGAATGTAATAGAACCCTCGACTATTCATAGTAAATTAACCACTCTGAATTAACAATCCCATGCACGAATTAAAGTAAGAGGCAGAGTAAAGATGGGCATGGTCTTCTCTCTTGCCCTCCTTCTCTCCTTCCCAAAGGCAGCAGAGAAACAGAAGTCAAACTTATCCCAGCCCTACCTTCCCTTTCTCTAAGATCTTCCTTCTCCTACCTTTCTCCTACCATTAATGATTTTTTAAATGTCAAATGTCAAAATGATAATTTTCTAGATATATTGGGTTATATAAAATTAATTAAAATTAATTCCACCTGTATCTCTTTACTTTTTAATGTGGCTACTTAAAAATTTTAAATTTTGCATGTGGCTTGCATTGTATTTTTATTGGATAGCACTGCTTTGCAGCATAACCAGGATATAATCACTACAATATAATTGTCTCTTATTAAAAAAGAAAAGACAATACTGAATGATAAATGGACATCTTCAGAGTAAAATTTATGAAGCAAAGAGTTGTTGATTCTGATAAAAATGATTTTAGGAAGATGAATTAGAAAAATATAACTTTGCTCTATGAAAAACTAATAAAAAATCTGTCTTAATAAAGTTCATGTCAAAAAAATTTTCTTGATGAAAATTCAATATTGGTATCATTTTGAATAAAATCTCTGTGTTCTGAAAGGCAGGATCAAAACATACTTAAGTCCAAAATAATAAGGTAAAAGTTTCTTAAACTCATTATCAGAATACAAGTTAGTCCTGAGCTAATGTGATAGAGAACTGATAACTCTGCATACCTTGCAGGCAATGAAGAAAGCTGTTTCGAATTCAAGTAGTTTAAATATATTCTGATATTTGAGTCTAGAAAAAACCCTCAGAATTTGGGGGAAGAAGTTGGAAGGCTAGTATTAACCAGGAAAGGTTTAGAAAAGAAAAGAAAGTCAAATACTGACTTCAAAGGTCCCTACAGACTCTCTTTCTCTCCAGGAACCCTTATTCTCCTCCCATCAGAGATTCTGAATATTTCTCCACAAAAACTGAACACTAATTCAAACCACAATTTGAAATCATAACTGTATTTATATGGGCAGGCAAAATACAGTTATTCAGAAATGAGTTTTTAGCCAAATAAAATATCCCTGTGAAATAATCTAACATGCTCAAAAAATTCTTTCAAAGTTAAAAAAAAAAAAAAAGGCAGCAGGGGGTACATTTTAAAGTTGAGCAATAAAGCAATTGAGATTTAGTCTAGTTTAGGAAAGAGTTACTCTGAACATATGATATCCTAAAATCTGCCATATCATAGCCTCTCTCAATAATGCCTAGAGATTGCACCATGGCCTTCATCACTTGATTTAAAATCAAAACAACATAAAATGTAACTGACTACAACAAATCAGCACATCATAATTTTACATTTTATTTGTGACTAGTAACACTGTACTATAACACTGTCTTCAGAGAACATCATAAAATTAAGTCACACTCTTACAAAGTCATTTGGCTATTTCATGACTAAGCTCCCCTGGACAAGAGTCAAGTCCAGTTTAACAGTCACCTGACTAAGAACACTGGTTGGAGCAAGACTTGAGGATTAGGAGACCTGCATATGAATTATGGTCCTGTCACAAGACCTGGATATGAATCATGGTTCAGTCACTAGGGCCAGACTTTGTTGCCTATTTTGCAAAATAAGCACGCTTATCTCAAAAGATTTTTCAGAATCTACTGAGTGATTAAATGTGACTTCTCTAAACAGTAAAGTGCTATATAAAGCATTAGTATTCATTCATCTGATTTCTTAAAATATCGTTGTTCAACCGAGCCCTATCCAATATCAATAATACATATTACTTCGGTTAACATTAACGTTGATAGTTTTTCCTCCATTTTGCCTTATTTGTCATCTTTACGAACCAAGGCAAAGGAATCAGTAGAAGAAAAAAATGTGAAAAAGATGATTTCATTTATATATATTTCAGAAAATAAACTGGGCATAGTGTCTTACTTGCACTGGCACTTTAAAAATTTAATTTAAATCTTATACATTAAATCCAACATAATGAAATTTAGCCTCTTCATTTAAATACAATCAAAGCAAAAGCTAGAAATTAGTCTTTTTATTACAGAATTTCAATGTATACAAGATCATTTTCCTCATAACACCAAGTGACACTTTAAAAAGGCATCTTGAATTTACTTATATTTGAAGTTAAGAGATTAGCATCTGCTTTGTCTTTTAACTCAATCTTTTCAACTATATTGGAGAAAGAATTTTAAGGTGTAGAATACACGGTGAATACTTTCTTTTTCCATAATTATAATTATTAATTGCTAAGTGAAAGGTAATTTTTGAAATTCTACTTCCTAGCAAAAAAAGAACTCACGGAAGAATTTTATTAATAATGGTATAACCTCATTAATTTAAATTTTACTGGATCAGAGTCAGTGATTAAACTGAAATATCGATGCTAAGGTACACTGGATTATTTGTACAGTTAGAGTTACTATGTGCATTTGAAAATATTTTGTATAAATATTTTCTATGTAACCAGATCAAATTTATTTTCCCTCTCCACAGTCCTCCCTCAATCCTTTGGTATGAATTCAGGTCATTTGTACTGCATTTTTTCATATCAAAACAAAAAATTTTTTTTAAAAGATTGAATACTGTGAGTCAGGTTATATATTTAAGTTTTAAAGGTTCACATAGGCCAGCCATATCCCCACCCAAAGGACTGCAATTTCATCATTGAAAAGTCATTATAATTTTGCCACTTGCTGAAAGTCATCAGTACTATAGAAAATATACTAATGACAAAAAGCTTTCTAAGCTGCAGACTGAACCTCAACTCATTTCTGAAAGCTCCCTGTTGCAAATCAGCACAGAGTAAATCCGGCACCCAAAATGTTTTTTTTTCAGCCCACATAGGGTTTTTTTATTTTTATTTTTTTAGAAAACCTTAAATGAGGTGCCACATTTATATATTGGAATATTTCACATAGAAGTCTACATTTCCAGTGTCTCTTGAGAGATCTGAAGATGTGGCCACACTGGGCCACATTCT